TTAGAGATGCGCAGCGGCTGAGCTGTTACTTTATTTGGAACTATTTTCGTTGATGAAATGGAGCAAAATCAGGCAGTACTTGTTTATTGAACTAAATCAATATCACATTTGCAAACTCCTTTAATAATTACTAAAAGCTGTCACTCTCCTTATCGCGATCTGTGGGCGCACAGAAAATGAGAGCGCGCGAGTGACTCAAAAGCACGTGCAAATGATACGTTCCGTCATCTGACATCGCGTTATAAGCAGGGAACCTGCGGGAATGAGTAGAATTATTATTAATAGCCGCAATCCCGCGCCGAAATTCAAGTCCTGCTCTGTGTTCTCTGCTAATAACCCGACTGTGAATGATGCGAGCGGCGTTATGTTGTCACTAGGGCTGTTGCGGTTCGTCGATTTTATTAAACTATTCGATTTTTAAAAATCCTCGACTTCATTTTGCTCACGTCGACTAACCGGCAAAATACCGGAAGTGGCGCATTTCACAGACGAGAATGTATAAAACACATTATTAGACTGTTTCCCAAGGCTGCATGATATATTAAACCCATTTCTGTTTTTCAAGGCTGCATGATATATTAAACCCATTTAAAAATCATAATTAAGCATAATTGTGAATTCACAAACGTTACGATTCAATTAAATAATTATATGCGATGCAGTTCTAATAGAGTAAATGTGCTTTAATTATTTACATGCTTGTAGGTTAAGTACATGCGTCACACAGCGGCTCCGTTCACAGTAGTTCCACAGGAACTGTTATCATTTACATGTGTGGAGCGTCTCAAACTCCATCTCTGCATGTTGTTGTGAGTTTGGGTTTATTATAACGTTCATCTGGGAACACAACATGCGCCATTTCATCAGATTTGTAAGGTAAATCATTTATAAATCTACGCAAACACAAGAGAATACATCGCAGTTTTAAAAATAAAAGCTCAAACCCTCATTCTGAGTTTACACGTTTTGATGTCCAAATATTCATTTAATTACAGTGGCTATAGCATTTCTGTCCTAAAGAAATGGCCAAATATTAAAGATTAAGTGTACATTTGAATGAAATGGTGCTTGGTCAATTAAACAAGGATTAGATCGCAGAGTAATGTGTAAAAACAATCGACAGGCCGTTGGCGCCCCCTGCAGGCCTTTGTTGTAACGTGTAATGTACATTAGCTCTATTGTTTATAATACATTATGTATTTTAACAATTTTGTTCAATAAAACCATGTGATTTCTTGCTTTTGATACTTTATTTGAACTAATTATTATTGCCTCATTGCTATTATACATGTGTTTTAAGTCATTTTAAAGGCTATTGTTCACGTACACCTATTTTTATTGCCACAAATTTTTTTTTTATAATTATAGGGCACTATGAAATCCGTTTTATTTCCAAATTCAGTTTTTTACATTTTCATTTTTCTATACTCTGTTTTAATGGTTAAATTAAATTTTATTAATCAAAAAGCCTGTCGAATTAATTGAGTTTTACAGTTTTATCTTTACCAAATTCTGTTTTCCATTATTTTCTGGATTCCATTTTAATGGTTCCATTAAATTTTAATAATCAAAAGCATCTCCAATTAATTGATTTTATTTTTTTTGTACTTTTTTTTTTTTTTTAATAAATTCTGGTAAATAATATTTCTGGTAAATACTCCTTTAAAAAGTGTTTTTTGATTATAATTTTATTATTTGTAGACTATAACACGTGGATATGTTGTCATTCTTACACTATAATACTGAACTTTGATTTCAATTATTTGGACTATGAGACTTCTTGCACTTTATGTTGCACTTTACTTTTTTACTTTTGGATTTCATTTGGTTTCATGAAATATAGTTTAATAAAATATTCTTAAGTAAAATTGTTGATTTTTTTTTGTAGGAAATTAATTGTTTAGATTAATTGATTAATCGATAAATTAGATAGATTAATCTAAATAAAAATAGTCATTAGTGGCAGCCCTAGTTGTCATTGAGAAGCTGCAGCCGTGGCAAGGATGATTTTTGGTGTGCCGGCAGAACAGCAACAAAGTGCTACATGTTTCTTTTCCCCTCATTTTTTTTCAATTGTCGGAAATCCATCGTAGTGACGGAAAACTTTAATTCCTGTAATCACAGAACCTGCTTTACTGACAAGATGCACATGACAATTGCATTCGATTAATCGTGCAGCCCTAGTAAATAGTTAGTTTGGGTTTTTAATTCATTATTTTCCACAGAAAAAAAAATAAGACAAAACTTCTGAAAAATAAAGAAAAACTAGGCCATAATTCACCTAAAAGTATAAACCAAGAGTTAGAATTTAACCAAGACCAGAAATTAACCAGGGCTTGAGACAGAAAAAGAGCCAAACAAAGCCCAAGTTAAGTAAATTGTGCTGGCAAAAATGCCCCCTGTAGCAAACTTCTGGTTGTTTGGGGGGTTTTGTTTGTTTGGTATGGAATAGCTGATATTTCATTAGATTCTATTCTGTTTGTCAAGTTATGGGTTTAAAACATCTAAAGACAACAACAGATATGATAAACACAATGAATAGGGGGAAAAAATCCTCCCAACAACTCCAAAACTTAACACAGCAAAACTGACAAAACTTTTTGTATGTTGATTTTATGATTAACAGCCACAATTGTTCAGAAAAAAATTTGTTTTAATTAATTCAATTAAAGTTACCTTAATGACACAACATACTGATTTTATATGGCTTGGGAAAAAAATCCACATCCACATAAAAAGGCAAAAAATAGCCCTGAAAATAAATTACAGGGGCAAATATTAATCCTTACTAAATAAATACATTTTTCTGAGAGATTATCGACCGAAATTAAGAAATATATCGTGATATCAATTTTGGCCATATCGTCCAGCCCTAATATATATTAGTGCAATTATGCCATTATTTTATAGGACAGAATAGAGGAGTAAAGTAGTAATGTGAGGAAAAAAGGCACAAAGATCAGGATAGGTGTCAGACTCAAATTCATTACTCCGTCATATCCATCATAAAAACTGACCACAAAGCTATGGCTCCAAGCCGACACTGATTTTAAAAGGGTAGTTCACACTAGGGCTGAACGATAAATCGCATGCGATATTTAACCGGCTTCACTGATAAGATGCGCGTTAAATATCGCATGCGATTTATCGTGCAGCCCTAGTTCACACACACACACACAAAATTGAACATTTTGTTATCATTTACTTACTCCCCATTGTTTGGTTACCAACATCTTCAAAATATCTTATTTTGTGTTCAACAGATGAAAGAAATTCATACAAGATTGGAAAAAACTTCAGGGTGAGTAAATTGACAAAAATTTTCATTTTTGGGTGAACTATGCCTTTAACCACATGCCCAAACTTATATAGACTAAATGATACCTGAGGATTTCAGGACATTAATTTGTGAGCAGTTTGTTACTAAGTAGTGGTCGACCGATATATCGACAAGGCCGATATATCGGCCGATATTTGGCATTTTTCAAATATCGGCATCAGCCGATAAGTTTTTCTGTTTGGCCGATGCGTTCGAGGCGGGACTTTTATTTTGGCGGCGCTGAGAACGGCAGCGCCTGAGCACACAGTGCTCACATTCTCCCTCTTGTTCGCTTTCGTCGTTCAGTTCTGTCTAATATGGATAGAAGTCTATCTAACAATCAGATAGAACTGTTAAACAAAGGAATTAAAATGTATACAAAAAAGTATTATAACGATTGCTTTAATATTATTAGTAATAGAAAGGCAAACATTATAATACTTTCTCAATTGCTGTCAGCATTCAGTAAATACGCATTAATATCATTTAAACAAATCTTTGAATGTCTAATCCGCGATCGACAAACTTTAAACTAGTGATTTCAAATTATGCTGCGCTTTATGCATTTGCCCACTGTCATATTCATTGCGTGCTGTATATAAAATGAGTGTTACCTTGGCTTTATTTGAAAAAAAATAATAATAATTATTCCCAATGCTCACAAACTTCCCAGAATACTGAGTGCCCTGTTGGTTACAGTGTTTACTTCCTTTTTAATTAGATTTTTATGAAATATTTATTTGTGAAAAATGAAAGTAGGCTTCTAAACAGGCCTATAAGTATGTTTATTTTACACAATTATTTTTAATCCATTTTCAAATGATTTCAAATTTCTTAAATATAAATTAAAATAAATAAAATTATAACGGCTTTATATCGGCCATCGGCCACCCTGCTTCCCAATATATCGGCATCGGCTGTCAAAAAACCCATATCGGTCGACCACTATTACTAACAGGAGATTATCTAAAAAAGCAAGTGACTTTTTATCGAAACTTCCAAATGAAAATATGTTTGTAATTTTCCAAATAACTCAATCTGAGTCAAGCAAATACAGGCCAATGCTGGTGTCAGAACCTGCTACAAACAACCAAAAAAAAAAAATCACATGGCAACTTCATCAACATGCTACACTGAGGGAACACTCACACCCATTCCACAATCACCTGACCAAAACAAGATTCACCTTCCTGTTTTGCGTAACTATGAGTGAATTTGCATCAGTCTAAATTAAACACTCGTCCTGATGGAGGTGGAATGTCTTATGACATTCTCTGCTCTCTCCTCCATGCCATTCTGCCCAATACAGTCCTTCATATCAAAGGCCAGCTGGAACAGGAACCTGCCACCTGGTTCTTAATAAAACAGATGGCTGTCCCAATTTCCACTGTGCTCCTAAAATTAATGATTAACTCACACCCAAATCACAGTGTACTCTGGAATAACACCTGCAGAAGGCTTACTAGATTACTATTAAATCCCTTAAACATACTTCACAAAGAAAAAACACTCCAAATGAAGAATAAAACACTGATTTTAGGCTTTATGACTGTGAGAGAGTCAGTAGTTGGTCCTTTAAATAGCCAAAAAACAATGTTGAAGGGTGTTACTATATTACTATTAAACACGGTCACAAAACATATCCCCGTTGCTCAAAATGTTGATTTATAAATGTCCTTACCTTTAAAGCATACTTATCCCCACTCCTCTTGTGAAAGATCTCCAGAACCCTGCCATTGATGCCCAGCCCCAAGACCTGGCTAGTGACCTTGTAGTCGTCAGTTATGGCATTTTTCTTGATCTGAAGTGAGGCTTTTCCCAGCATGAATTGGGCTGGATTCTGTTGTTGCTGCTGCTGCTGGTTTGGAAACTTCGGCGGACTGTTGGCGTTAGTCAGCATCTCCCAACTTTTTTCTTGCCTTAATATAACAACTAACGTTAGCTACTTCACCCGAACTTCAGACCTTTTTTTGGCAACACCCAAGGCGAAGATTTGCATCAGAGAGCTCGACTTCAGGCACATAAACGACGTTTAAAAGCGATAAAACTGTGAAACAAACCTTCTGATGCGCCGTTATGTCGGTTTCTTGGTGACTAGCTAAGCTAGCTAATATCCATGTCGAGGGTCAACCCACCAATTTAGGGCTCAGAGTTAAAAATGCGACTTACATAAAATCACTTCAAGCTTAAACGGCTTCGAAGTGTCACTGGCTATTCGAAAGAGCCGCCTAGCGAATTAAAAACACAAATGTCGATTTTAAAAGTCGAGTATGGCATTCCTTCTAACACTACTCATCTGCGAGACGCGCACTGGCCCTTCGCGACTTTCGGCCAGCGTCTTACTGCTCTGACGTCATAGCGGGCTTCGAAATGTTTGCGCTCTTAAAGGAGCCGCCACCTACTGAAAATGCATGTACACTGAAAGTGCAATTGAAATGATGTTTTGCACATAAAATGATGTATATATGATTAATATTATTAAATGATGAATATTAAATATAAAAATATTTACTTCATCATAAAAGCTTGCTGACCAGCTGCCAGACTGGAAAACTAAACCAGCAAGACCAAAAAAAACAATACAAAACCCATTTAGGCTAGTCATAGCAAGAAAAAGAACATCATTCAAACACTGTCGTCATTTTCTCAATTTATAGGCTTTATAAGTTTGTATTTTTGTGAAGTGGTATTTTATTTTTAATCTCGGCAAATATCAATAGGTGTCGCTGTTGTGTAAAAATAAATAAAAAAGTTAAGTGAGGTGAAAATATGTATAGCCACAAGAGGGCGCAGTCTACACGCGTTTCAAAGAATTTCACAGTCTTTTGTGAAAATATCCCTTTTATTTAAAAATTACAGTAATTACAGTCATTTATTATCATTTTTTTTTACAATACACGTGCAATAATAAATTTTTTTTTCAATTCATAAGGAAGATAGGCCCTATATGTAAACCAGTTGTGCACTTTTTGTACGTTCATAAAAAGAAAAGACGCAAGGGGGCGCTTTAGATTAATTTACCCTTTGAATACAACAGATTTGAAAACATTTCAACACTCTTGTTTTTGTATTATGAAATAGCAAAAAAGGAACAGAACAGACAAAAGGCACAGAACAGATTTATAGATTTTTTTTTTTTTGCAAAAGGAATCATTCACAAATAGCTTTAATAGTCAGCTGGTATTATTGAGAAATGGCTGAAAATCCTCCTTACTTCACTTCTTGCTGTGTTTTTGTGCTCCTCATGAGCTCATTTAGAAAACAACTCTGCCATGTCAACTAGCACAAATTGTAGCATTCTGTTTTTTTTTTGTTGTTGTTGTTGTTTTATAATTTGGAGCATGTTTTATAAACATGTTGCTATTTGATAGCCTAAATGATGATGAGTTCAGGACATTTTAGTACTTGAAGTTTGTTACTACCAGGAGATTATCTTGAAAAAAAAAGTGTATGGCTTTTAATGTGGAAATTTCCAAATAAAAAATAGATAGGTAGCTTTCAAATAACTCAATCTGAGTTACAGGCAAAACATAGGCCAATGTTGGTGTCAGCCTGCTACAACCAACCAAAATCACATGGGAACTTCATCAACAACTACTGACTGAACTTTATACCATTCATAAAATGTTGCTAATTTAAGTCACATGTCTGTTGTTGACATCCGAATAAACCTTTGAGACAGATCAAAAGTCAAACTGCATTGAAGAGATCATATTTGGCTCATATATGCACACAAATGATCCACAAGTGACATTTGGGGATTAGCAAGCAGACATACTGTAAAACATGCTTTCCGTTTTCGGGTGGAGATGTGGGTGTAATTTTGGCAAATATTTAATCAAGCTTCACATGGTTCACTTAAGCATTCAGCTCTCATTTTCACATACATCAACACTTTTAAGGGGCTGTTATCAGTGTGTCAGCAATATTTCACACTTGCATCCCCTTTTTCTGATAGAGGTGGTGACCTTAAAAGAGCACGGCACCAAGCAGATAGCTAGCAGATGGAGGGAGACAGAAAATCCCTCTGATCAAACAGTTAATTTGACTATGAGTCAGGCCTTATACGTTGGTTTTGGAAATGCTGGATGGAAACGGTTGGAGACACTGTTTATTTGTTGTAAATACCATTTACCAGATACCAGATTGATATGTAATAGAGTATGGAAAAATGCAAGTTTAGTAAAAAGAAAAAAAAAATCTGTTGGGGCACATTTTTTTTTTTATTTTGTTTTGTTTTATAGTAGCTGGTGTCCATAACTAAATCCACCAAAGGCTGTGCTTTATTTCGTCTTGTAGTCTTGCCTATTATTCTCATTTCACAGCATTTTAAACACTGTATAGAAAATTCCCTACAATCTATATAACATTTATTCATTTAGCAGCTTTTATCTAAAGCAACTTACAAGTGAGAGCAACAGAAACAGCTCTGTATTCTCATGTCTGGTCCTTTCACATATGCAGGGAATTCTGCAGTCTACATAGAGTATCTTGTCAGTGTCTGCGCTTGCTTGGCCATTTGTTGTGGAGAAAATAAGGAAAGTGTGTTCAAGCGCCAGCAGAAAACAGTGTAAAGAAATCGTCTTTGAGAGAAGCAGTCTTTATCAGCGGACGGTGAAAGCAGCTCCTAAGTGTATTTACTTGTCTCATTAGTGTTTAGTGCAGTTGTCATTGCTAGGAAACGCTTGTTTTGTTTACTGTGTGGAGACGTGCTGATATCGCGTTTGGTCTCGTTCTGTATAGCGTATCTTGTCAGTGTCTGCGCTTGCTTGGCAATTTGTTGTGGAAAAAATAAGGAAAATGTGTCCAGCTGAATTAATTTAGTATTTTGTTAGAGGGGTATAAAAAAGCGTAGTTTACCGCGGCAGCGGTCGCGTGACGGCCTCCTCGTGTGAAGACCGAAGAGTGTAAAGACCATCGACTCTACCGTGCGACTCCACCGGGCAGGGACACCGGCAAAGGATAAGTATTGCTTTTTATTTCTCCTCTTTCCTATTACTTGTTTCGCTTCTGTTTCAGTTTTTTATATGTGTAAGTAAGTTGTTGTTTTTTAGCATGTATGTTTGACAGTGTTATTTTTTTAGGATTACTGATAAACAACTGTCGTTTGATTTGTATTATTTGTATTTGTTGTTTATTTTAATTTTAGTTAAATTATGTCTGTATAGGTCTTTTATTAAGTTTATTAAGTTATTTTAATACTTCAACAAACTAAATGGAAATGAAATAATATTTATATATTTAATTTATATGTGTGTGTGTGTGTGTGTGTGTGTGTCTGTGTGTGTATATGTATGTGTGTGTGTGTGTATATGTATGTATGTATGTATGTATATGTATGTGTGTGTGTGTGTATATGTATGTATGTATGTGTGTGTGTGTGTGTGTGTGTATATGTATGTATGTGTGTGTATGTATGTGTGTATGTATGTGTGTGTGTGTGTGTGTGTATGTGTATGTGTATG